AACTTTGTTCTCCAATAAGATCTTTTAATAGAAACTAACAGGTATACTGTGCATCTCCACTAGACACTTACAGCAGTGTACACATTAGTTTAATCCTGAGACCACTATGGAACTGCACCTCACAGAGTGGGTTTCCGGAACCTTTGGAAGTCTCTGAGACCCTTGGCTGATGGAGGCATTTTATCATGACATAAAGGTGGGGTTTTTTTTGTTGTTGTTTTTTCCCCTATGTTGAAACTTGACTGATGATATGAAGTTAATTGTGCACCTGAGCAGATATAGTAAGGCAATGGTGCCAAACTATACCAGTTGGCATGACATTCTTCCCTGCAACATGCCTATGATTAAAAAGAACAAAACAAAACAAAATGAGAACCCTCCCAGAATATTCTTGATGAAGTGTTAAACATAATTATATTACATTCGACTCCAATTTTTTTTTAATACCGTGTCAAAATGAAAATAAGGTATAAAACATTTCTGTTGCATGCCAAAATATAATGGCTGTCTCAAGGCAATGTGCTAAGAGAGATTATCTGAACTCAGAGCTGAATTAACGGCTTTTTTCATGCCACCCTATTTTTACTTGAAGTAGTGACTGATAGACAAACTATGGTAATTCAGACTTAAGTATTTGACAGCATCTTCTTGAAAATGAACAAAATAAACCTGTTATATCAATGGAAATAACTGACAGTATTTGCACATAATGATAAAAATCAAGTTCCTAAGTAAAAATTTGAATTTTGGAAATCTTGGATGTACTTCCATGAACTTGATGCTTTCTCCTTATTTGATGATATGAAGTTAATTGTGCACCTGAGCAGATATAGTAAGGCAATGGTGCCAAACTATACCAGTTGGCATGACATTCTTCCCTGCAACATGCCTATGATTAAAAAGAACAAAACAAAACAAAATGAGAACCCTCCCAGAATATTCTTGATGAAGTGTTAAACATAATTATATTACATTCGACTCCAATTTTTTTTAATACCATGTCAAAATGAAAATAAGGTATAAAACATTTCTGTTGCATGCCAAAATATAATGGCTGTCTCAAGGCAATGTGCTAAGAGAGATTATCTGAACTCAGAGCTGAATTAACGGCTTTTTTCATGCCACCCTATTTTTACTTGAAGTAGTGACTGATAGACAAACTATGGTAATTCAGACTTAAGTATTTGACAGCATCTTCTTGAAAATGAACAAAATAAACCTGTTATATCAATGGAAATAACTGACAGTATTTGCACATAATGATAAAAATCAAGTTCCTAAGTAAAAATTTGAATTTTGGAAATCTTGGATGTACTTCCATGAACTTGATGCTTTCTCCTTATTTAAGCCTGTCTGATGAAATAGATAGTATATTAACATGTGATTTTTTTATGTTGTGTGACAAAATGTGTCAATGTTTGTAAGGTACACATAGCTCAGTGAATCTACAAAGTCATGATGTAGAAAAGATAAATCCAAAGAGCAAGATAGACTAAAGGATTGAATTTAATATATCAAAGCAACATGATTTCATTGATAAGGTTTCAGTTTCCACTTTGCAACTAACCTTTATGAAACCTACATTTGTTCAGTTTTAGTATAGTATCAAGAACAATATTCACTGTGATTTGAAAAGGCTATTAAAGTGTTCCATCCCATTCGAACTATGAATTATAGAGGCTAGGTTTTGTTAATACCCTTCATGAAACAATATGTTCCAAGAGACTTAAGTGCAGAAGCATATATGAGAATCTAGTTGTCTGTCATCTTTTTTTTTTTGGGGTGGGGGTGGGGGAGTGTTTTCGCTATAGGGCGTGTGCGCTTGCCAGAAAGACAGAGAGAGACAGAAAGCAAGAAATCACCCCCCCGGGGGGATGACCACGCCTCAATCCCTTCTCCTCCATTCTCCTCTTGGGATCTTGGGCACACAGGCACACGCGCCTGGTGTGAGTTTTAAGCCACCGGGTCCAGGATGCGAACAAAGGTCGACTACATGGGAGTCCAGTGACATAGCTATTACGCTAACTGCTGGTCCCAGAATCTAGTTGTCTTCTAAGCCAAACATTGAAAAATTTTAAATAATAAAAAACAATGCCATTATGGAAATGCAATGTAAATTATATGTAATCCAATGTAATATAAAGAAGATTATGATGATAATAAAAATAAATAAATAAATAAATAAAAAAACAATGCCACTGGGACCAGCAGTTAGTGTAATGGCTATGTCGCTGGACTCCCACGTAGTCGACCGCGGTTCGCGTCCCGGACCCAGTGGCTTAAAACTCACGCTGGGCGCGTGTGCATGCTTGCCCAAGATCTCGAGAGGAGAATGGAGGAGAAGGGATTGCGGTGTGGCCATCCCCCCTAGGGGGGTGATTTCTCGCCTTCTGTCTCTCTGTCTCTTGCTGTCTGTCTGGAGAGTCCTTATGCCCTATAGCAAAAAAACCTCTTCAAAAAAATAAAAATTAAAAACAGTGTCACTTCGGCCTGCCAATGGCATGGTGGTTAGGTGGCTGGATTTCATGTGGCCAAAAGCACGGTTCAAGACCCAGACCCATGGCTTAAGACATATGCCAGGAGCATGAGCATGTATGTCCAAAATCCTGAAAAGAGGGAAGAGATGGAGGAGAAGACAAGACCATGCCCCATAAGAGATGCTTTTTGTCTTTGTTTCTTTCTCTTGGGTGAGTGCATACACCCTGTAGCAAATTAAACTGCTTTCTTCATGCCACCCTATTTTTACTTGAAGTAGTGACTGACAAATTAAGGTAATTCAGACTTAACTGTTAAAACAAAAACAACAAAAGTTTAGTCCTCTGTGATATCCTCCATGTCTCGCTAATGGTGTCATGAGTTTCCAGAAAAAGACTATTTCCAGCCAGGACCAGGTATAAACAGAAGACAAAAAGTTTCTGTTTTGTTTTAGACAATATATTTTTCATAAACATGTCTTTTTGTGTTAACATATAATAACTTTCTTTTTATTCTTAAATGAGTTAATAAATATCTTTAAAGTCTATAGTCTCACTTTCTAAATACATAAAGAAATAACTCACATAAACAAGAATTTATAATCCTCAATAAATTTGTAAGAAATTTGCGAAGGAGCCCTAAAACCAAAAAGTTTGAGTGCTGCTGCTCTAGAAGAAGGTGGTTTTATTATTTTGTTGACTGGGAAGCCCAGGCATAGAAGGTTAAGCAGGTTACCCAGTCAAACAGCTAGTGAATAATACAGCTGGAATTCAAATCCAGGGTTCCTGAGTTCTTGCTGTAAAGTGCTATGGTGTATGAATACTTCTTGAAAAATTTTATGGTTTGTAACTTTGCTAGGATCAATAGGCTTTATCTGATAGAACTTAGATGTCCTTAGGAAATTCTTTTCACATGTAATTTTCTTAGTCTAAAATTAAATCATCATCATTTAGGTATTTTTTTGAGTTCCAATTTTTATGTCTGTAAATCTGTGCTATAAACTCACATCAAACATCTAAGCAGGAAACATAAATCATTTCTGAGTTCCTTTCTTAAGACCTTTTGACCTTTCTTTAAATCACTGTTGGATTTTTAGGATTATTTGAAATAATTTTCAAAAGAAACATTGTATCATATTCAAGAATAGTGTTGATTATTTCCAATAACTTTCCTTTTATTTGATTGGTCATACCTTTTCACTATATACCATAGAAATGACAATTTAGTACACTTCTGCTTTGAGGTGAAATATTGGAGTGCTGTAAGCTTATTTCAGTTTGGAGAAATAGGAGAATTACTTTTATCCCACTGCCTCTTATTATTAATTTATATGCTGAAATAGGTGATCACAGAACAGGATCAAACCAGGATATAAATGCAACCATTTATGTTTCTACCATCAGCTTCAACTGTAGATTAATCTCATTGAAAACTTGCTTAGTTTCTTAAGCAAAAAATTGGAAACGTAGGTTTACCCTGTCAGTTCCCTTAACTATGCTGTTAATTCACATTGATTTGGAGAAAACCAAGATAATAGTTTTATTTCCCCATTGACTGACTGCATCTGCAAGCTGTCCACAGTGCTGTTAAATGGATCTTAGCTATTCCTTCTGTTTTCCCTGTTTTGGCATGTACAGATTCAAATATGAAGAAGATAATATGAATGAACCACTCGGAGAGAATCTAACACTCGCTAGTAAAACTTTTTAGCACAAAATGGTTACTTTATACTGAGGTCTAGGAATATGTAATGCAAACTTTGATTTGCATTGTCCTTTCTGGTACAGAGACCAGGAATAAGAGTCAATGTCTGCCTTTCAGTTGGTCTTACAGTATGCTCAGGTATTCCAGTTCTTAGGTTTCCAAACTGTGTCCACAGTGAAGCTTAGCTATCACTTCAGTCCTTGCTAGGCCATTCCTAGTTCTCAGTGGTGTCCTCCATGTCTCACTAGTGGTGCCAGGAGGTTCCTGCAAGACTACTTCCAGCCTGGTCCAGATATTTACAGAAGACAACTGGCTCTCAAAAATTTACTTCATATGTCAGATCTAGGAGAGTAATTATTCGAAATACTTCTTTGCCATAGAGAACACTACAGGGGCTTTTTTTTTTTTTTAACATTTTTACCATAAAGCGTATGTGCTCACCAGAGAATGGGAAAGTGAGAAATTATCTCCCAGGGGGATGGCCACACCACAGTCTCTTCTCTTTGATTGTCCTTTTAGGACTTTGGGCACACAAGTACATGTGCCTGGTGTGATTTTCAAGCTGCCAGGTTCTGAACTTGAACTACAATTGGACATGTGGAAGTCCAGTGCTTTAACCACCAGACTATTTGCTGGCCCCAACGAATACTTCTTTAACAAGCCTTCAAAAGCTTTTGAAAGCCTCATTGTAGCACTAAGAGTTGCAGCTGAGCCCATCTTGTTTCTGTTAGACCTTTGAGCTTCCGCCCTTTGTGACCTGTCAGGTTGCCGTGGGCTCCTTGGACACTGCTGCCTCTCTTTAGCTCTTGCCTTGACTGAAATGTGGACATCTTAGTCACCAGGAGGTCCATAGCCATGTACCTTATCGAGGACCTTGTGTAGCAATGGCTTCATGCCTGTGTCATCTCATGTCTTGGTATTTCCCTTGACTTGTTTACAAGTCTTCCACTTCCTAGACTGTGAAGGTAGGAATCTTCTCTGTCCCCAGTGCCTAGTAGCCAGGAGACATTTAATGAATGCTAGAGGAATGATTAAATGCTTTTGCTTGTAACTGTGGAACAGGAGAAAATATGAGTTCAGTCTAATGTCTTCCCTTCTGTAGAAAGATCTGTAAATACTGAGAAGGTAGTGGAGATTTTTCTGCTGTCAGTTACAGATCTTACAGTGCACTGAATCAGGATACACATAGGTGTTAGCTCAACTTTATAGTTAAACTTCCAATCACACCCCATCAGAAATGTCTGAGAAATATATTGAACCTTTTAAAATACCGTATTTCTATATTTTATAGTTGTCATAACAGATTGATTAGTTTTAATAATTGTATTTGAAATCAGATACGTATTTAAAATCTTATATATCAAAGTCTATTTCTGGAAAATATAAATATCTCTAATAAGAAAGTGAAGCTTGATTATTATCTATGATGACAGAATCAACTCTTTTTTTAATTGCTAGAGGGAGACAGAAAAACAGGGTGAAAAGAGAAGAGAAAGCATTTTCCACTGGAGCATGGCCTTACTATAATTCTTTTTCCTTCATCTCACCATGTGGTTGAGATTTTGGGTATTCATGTAAATGTGCCCAGCTATTCTGGTATAAGTCACAGGGCTGGAGATTCTAACTATAGTCAGCTATGTGGATTCTGGCTCCCTTAACCACTAGGTTATGGGACTGGCCCATAGAGCTAATGCTTTATGGAGTGATAATTATGTAATTGAAAATTACTCTGTACCATTGATTAATCTCTTCTCTTTCTGCCTCTCCTTCATTTTCTCTACTACTCCTGCTACGTTTTTTTCACTTTTGACCACTAATTCATTTCCATATGTGATCACAGAAAAAGTAGTTTGAATTACCATGTCTTAAAGCATGTAGCAGACTTAGTCCTAAAGCGCTTATAGTTTCCTTACAGCGCCATAGTATAACTTATCCATATTTGCATATTTAACGATAGTAGTGCGTATGTAGTTATATATTTAAATTTTACTTCAGAAATATGTTTAAAATGCATAATTATTATCTTAAAAAGATTAATATTACTGTTAGGAAAAAAGCATGTTGTATACGAGATTAAATTCCTGGCTTGAATAGGTATACATAATGAACTGCCAACAGCTGAAACTTCAATGGCTACATTTACCAGAAAAGTATTTTCTACATATATTTTACAGAGTAGTTGTTACAAATGATACATTATGCCTTGTGCTTTGGTTTCTCATTGGAATTTGAAAAATAAAACATTGTTATTGGTAAATTCATAAGCTTGGGGAATAAAATTGTTTGAATTTGGTGTAAAAGAAGTTTCAAAGGAAGGTTAGTGGTTTAAACCAAAAGATTAGTTGCTCTAGAAAATTTAGGTATGGCAAAAGTATTGAAAGGTCTTGCTCCAACTGATTGCTCCACTTATGCTGCAATTCCTGATCCTCCTGTTGGACTTTCACCTGATTGATGATGCTGATTATGATGGCATAATATATTTTATTGTCACTTTACCAGAACATGTGGGATTTGTCTGCTCTTGAAGATTGCCCCCCACCACCAACTTGTTGTGGTATGGTGTGTTCCTCTGCTAACTGGAAATTGATGGTTATTTCTTTATTCATTAACACTTCAAAGTGAAGGAGAAAAGGGCAAGTTACTGAATACATTATAATTATACTAGGTGAAGCTCTTACCGGCATATTCACTAAAATAACTTAACGTTTGACTTTCTTGGTACCTAATAGTTGATCCCTATACAACCTTTTTTTTTTTTCTTTTTGGAGAGGTTTTCACCATAGGGTGCATGTGCTCACCAGACAGACAGAGAGAGACAGAGAGACAGAAAGCGAGAAATCACTCCCCAGGGGGTGATGGCCACACCACAATCCATTCTCCTCCATTCTCCTCTTGGAATCTTGGGCACGCACGCTCACACGTCCGGCGTGAGTTTAAGCTACCGGGTCCGGGACTCAAACCACGGTCGACTACGTGGGAGTCCAGTGACATAGCCATTACGCTAACTGCTGGTCCCCCTATACAAACTTTTAAAAAATTGTTTTAGATAATAGAGTCTCAGTTCTCCTTTGTGGAGTAGATCACTAAAACCCATGGCAAGTTACACCTCCTATATTTTAGGGAAGTCAGAAGTATAGGACATGGGACTGCTTCAGAACTTCTTGTGTTCTAATAGCTACCCATGTAAATTATTTCTGTTCTGTTACATGGGCCATGGTCTTTTCTAGATGAGCAGAAGATTATCTTTGCTATGGATAAGTAAAATTAAATCCATTTACCTTATATCAGAAAATCTCAAATGTCCATTTTGGGAAGTGACTTGTACATCATAAAATTATGATGTCTTAAGAGTGCATTTAATATTCCTTCCCTTGGGATGCACTTTAAATCTATGTTACCCAAACAGATGAAACTCTTTCACAAAAGATTTATGTTCTATTTAAAAACGTGAAAATTGGGCCAGCCAATGGGGTGGTTAAGGTGACTGGATTCCACATGGCTAACTGTGCAGTTCAAGTCCTGGACCTGGTGGCCTGAATATCATGCCATGTGCATGTGTGTATGTGCCCCAAATCCTGAAAGGCAGGAGAGATATGTGAGAATAGATTGTACCATGACTTCCCCATGGTAGGTGCTTTCTCACTTTCTCCTCTTGCTTGCTCTCTGTCTCTCTCTGGCCAATGCTTTTACCCTCTAGCAAATGAAAGAAAAGAATGGAAGGAAGGAAAAGAAGGGAAAAGAAAAGTAAAAATAAAAATTCCATAGTTCTTCATAGTAATTCATTCTAGCCTATAATGTTCATTGTTTGAATACAGAATTATGCTTATTCTCCACTCATTTTCCTTGAGAAGGGGAAGATCTATTGTTTATTACTTGAAACACACACACATACACTTTAAAGAACATTAAGTGGACCATTGGCTTTTTCTAAGGTCAATGTTTATTTTTATTTTTATTTTAAGGTCAATGTTTATTAACAGGGCCAGCCTTAGTGGCTCAGCAGTATTGGACTGATTCATGGTAGTAGATTTATATGGAAGATCAGATTCAGTTCTCAGGTTGAGCTATATATTTCAGGTACATGTGTGCCTGTGATCCTGGCTGGGTAGAAAAGCTGAGGAGAAGATGTCAGCATCTGGCCCTGCTGAGGGTCTCTGTGTCTTTTTTATAAGTAAGTAAATTAAAAAAAAAAAGTTCAATAACTTTACCTCAAGTGTGACTCAGTCATTTCTTTTTCCTTTGTGAATCTTTTCAGCTTTTCTGTTTCCCATTTATGGTGTATGAAGATCATATGCTTTGGGAACCAGCAGTTAGCGTAATGGCTATGTCGCTGGACTCCCACGTAGTCGACCGCGGTTCGCATCCCGGACCCGGTGGCTTAAAACTCATGCCGGGCACGTGTGCGGACGGGCCCAAGATCTCGAGAGGAGAATGGAGCAGAAGGGATTGCGGCGTGACCATCCCCCCTGGGGGGTGATTTCT